CCACATTTTGGTCATTGGAAAGAAATATGAGAGTTTTTTAGGGTACTGACTCGAATTTTTATAAATTCAAATATCCTTTGGTTCTAGACCCAAGGTTTTTTTATTGAGGGTCATCCTCTTTTATTCTTGTGAGGATCTTGGGGATCTAATAAATAGTTTACTTGACATGTAAATTTTATATACAGGTTGCATCCCCTTAGTGCTTGTGAGTAGACATTTTTCCTTTAAAAAAAAAGGAGATGGCTAAAGGCTTGTCATTGTTTTGAAGTGAACACTCAAAAAGGTTTGCTATTATGCATGAACTTTTTTCACTCGGTCCTATATCCTTCTTTCACCAATGCAAATTTGGAATCAATGGAACTGCAGAAAAAAAATTTCGGATATTTTGTTTAAATTATGCTTTTTTTTTTTTGCTCAGTTAAGTTTCACTCCAATAGCATGTTTTGGCTAAAATTACACTTTCTTACATTTTCATTGGCAGAAAGGTTTCTCAGGTAAATAAGATAAACAGATGTCTGCGTCATGCTTGCTAGATGTTGTTTCCATTACCTTGTTTATCAATTCATGTCATTTTTTTTCCGTCTGCAGTCTGAACTTGAAATTGAGCCACGTTATCCATTATTTGGAGGTTGGAAAGCCACTTTTGTGATTGGATATGGTCTACCATTGCAAGATTTCCTGTTTGAGTCACCTGATGGCAGGCGTTACCTCAACTTCACCTTCGGGTGTCCGCTTGTGGAAATGGTTGTAGACAAGTTAACTGTCAAAGTGAGTTTAGATCAATCATTCTGCATTCCTGTTACTATGTGTTCATTTCTTGTTAGAAATTGCTAATATTTCTATACTTCAGATTGTGCTTCCAGAAGGATCAAAAGACCCTTCTGCTGTGGTTCCTTATCCAGTGGAGCAACATCTAGAGGTAATTGTTTCTAAAATGAAAAATTTTCTACATATGCATACTGTCTCACATGCGGTGCACACTCGGTAAGTACAAATACACATGCAGCTATACATGCATGTTATTCTGGAGCACATAGGTCCCTCTGATGCTATTATGGAGTTACTTTATGCATATAATTGTTGTGACATAATTTAAGTATTCATTTTATTGAGCATCGATTTTTTTTTCTGATAAAAATTCCCTGCCCCTTCTCTAGTATTTCGTTATCTGTGTGATATTTAAACTGATACACCTTTCTTGGTTTCTCAGACCAAATATTCTTATCTGGATGTTGTTGGAAGAACCGTGGTGGTCTTGGAGAAGAGAAATGTGGTTCCTGCGCACAATTCACCTTTCCAGGTTATTTTCCCTCCTGCATTTATTGTGTCTACCCTTCACCCATTGACTGATTGATAAAACACACGGATTTATTTCTATTAATCTTATAGAAAGGCACTTTGGTTCCCAGTTGGATATGTAATTGATGAACTTTTGAATAGAACACTTTGATTCCCCCTTAAAATCACAAATTTGGATGTGGGAAGGAAATTTAGGAATCAAGATAATGTGATTCTTCAGCTTGTCTCAATTGAATTATGGCATATGACGAGCTAGATTCGTGCTTACCTCCTACCAGCACGACTTAGCGGCTTGTGTAGACATTTTCAATTTTCTAGAACATGATCATACTGGTTTTAGTATTTTGCATCTTTCCAGTGATGGCTGATTACAAGCAGATTCTATTCGTTCATTTATTATCTTCCCATATCAATGATCATAAGTTTTCAACCTTCTTCCTGTTTTTCTTTATCTCTTTATTGCTTCCCGAAGTGCTCTATAAAATGATGGAGCCAAGGGCTATCATTGAGTTCACATAGTCACTACTTAATCTTTGACGGGACCATTCTTCAGTTAGGTTATGTCATGCTCCTTACTTCTTATTATCTGATGCTTCTTTCTTTTAGGGTAGACGGGAAGGGAGGGCTGCTTTGATTGTGGTATTATCTTAAATTCCTTGTGGTTATTGACTTCAGAGCTTCTCTTTCTCTGTTGGCAGGTCTACTACACTTTCAACCCAATCTTCATGCTTGCAGAGCCGTTAATGTTGATATCAGCATTTTTCTGTTTCTTCTTGGTTTGTGTCGCATATCTGCACGTTGACCTTTCTATACGCAAGTCATAAGACCGTGCGGCATTTGTCAGAGGTAAAATTATATGTTTGTTAACATACAGAAACACCATACAGAGCGGGAGCCAATACTTGCGGGATACCATTCTGGGATCTCTTATCAAATTTTGAGCTATCCAATGCAAGTTAGTAGTTTTAGAATTGCTTGCTCATGTTTTCCCACCTGGAAACTTCATCCTTCTGGACCCCTGCATCCATATGAGAAATATAAGAATTTGAAAGTACTTGACTATGAGCATGACTATTTTATATCGCCGAAAGCATACTCGCAGAAACCCTATTTCGTTATGTTGATGGTAGGTATCTAACAAATTTTATTTGTATCCTTATTTCCCGCTGACCAGAATGCAAAGTTTGCAGGCTGAATACCGATTCTATCTCGCACAGGTAACGTTCTGTGTTTTTCCTTATTGTCATTGGTATCTTCTTCTGAAGTCATTTCATATACACACACACACACATATATATATATATGATGATGTTGGATTTCTGAACACCTACAAAAAAGATAATCTGTGGGTGATCCTCGGGTTTTCAAAATGATATCATTTGAGTTGGTGGGACTGGAATCAAATTGCTGCAATGCCAACATTTTGCATCTCTTTGTTCATCATGCTGGGGGTTCTTTTTTCATCATGTTTTTTGTCGCTATTACTAATCAAAAGTGATTTTTTAAATCTTCAATACAATTTCTAGGTGTCTTATATATATGCATACACGTATTTTGGTTGAAATATATATATATATATATATATATATAAAGGACTAAGTACCATAGTCAAATAGTGACTTATTTCTAAAGTAAACCATCTTATCAATCAGTTTAATATAAATCGATGGGTAACTATAATCAAATATAATTAATGTGAATAATTATGTACCTAACACCCATATTTTTAAAAAGGCTATATAAATAATAGATTATATTTTTTTTAATTTAAATTTTAGTATAATTTTTCATAACAAAAATTAAGGTTTGAACTTGATCCATGCATAAGCAACCTACTGAAACTGTCTCCTATAATGCTAATATATTTATATCATACGTAATATGAATGTATTTCCAAATCTCTTACTTCCTTGGAATGTCTGTCTTTGCTCATGATATTACTTACACACACACCCACATATATATAACACACACCCACATATATATATATATATGTGTGTGTGTGTGTTGTGGTGTGTATACATCCTTGTGTGTGAAAATTGATGTTTGTAAATGGAGTGCACACAGCAGTCATGA